TTTCAGTATGCTGCTACCTCCTAACAACACCCAGTGTTGTATTTCGTGCAGGTCACGAAGATATAATGACATTTTGGTGGATCCAAACCAGGGTCAAGAATGCTTGGAAGCCTTAAACTGCAAGTAAAGATATTCCTGAAGAATAGTAGATAAAAGAAAAATTAGAAAGCCAAAAGCCTCTCTGGTAATTCTGTTCCTCTGGAGTCTTTTTCTGTTTCAGGAGTAATTTAATAGCTAAATCTGTTACTGTAATGCTTAATGCACTTGCTTTGTTTATAAATACTTTGGATCAAAAAATATATTATACGGACAATATCTCATTAGAAAGAACAATAATCTAGCTATAATTTTATAGAAACGTAACTTGTACGTAACTTGTATGTAAGTTGATGAAGGACTTGATGCAGCAAATTCAGTGTGATTTGGCAAATGGGAAGATGAAGTGCTCAGGCATTGAAGGAATCAATCACACTGGACTGGACTCGAGATTCGTGAGGTGGACGTGCGAAAAATATCCTAGTCAAGAAAGAGTCTCAAGACTTCCTTCTCCTTTAGCAAATGACATAGTTATGGATGTCTAGGTTGGAGCTTCAGAAGACCCTGGGCTGCTCATGAACATGATTTTGAAGTTATGACTCTTGGGTAACAGGACCCATCAAATCAATTACTCATATGTTTATTGCTGCTATCATGCTCTTGGATTTTTTTGCACTATATATGTACAAAAAAATTCACAGGCCTCATGCTTCTGAATATCCAGGCATCAATGTAAATTATTGAGGTCCTGTATGTGTATTCCGTAGATTAAAACCCTAGGACTATTCCTTGTTTGCAATAATTTCATTAGTTAATGATTTGATGCTCAATTACAAACACTTTCCTCATCAAACTCATCCACCAAAAGATAAAACCCTCTTCCCTCATCAACTCCAGCAATCTGTGTAACATCCCATAATTTTCTTCAGTTCTTCCATTTGAAACATCTTTGGCTATAAAACTCTCTAACCTTCCTGCAGTTTGAATCCAGCTACTACCAGTGATCTTCTTCAACCCAATATTCTTTTCCCCCACACGTTCAGCTTCTTCCCATCTCCCAGCTTGTGAAAATAAGTTCGCCATGATGATATAATTTCCTGTATTTTCAGGCTCAATCTTGAAAAACCGATCACAAGCAAACTTCCCCAGTTCAATATCCCTAGAAACTGAAGCCTCGTTAAGTAATGCTCCCCAACAAACCTTGGCACTAGGTTCAATTGGCATTCTAGAAATGAATTCCACTGCTTCAGATAGCTTCCCGGCTCGGGTTAGAACCCCTACCATGCAAGCATAATGCTCAACCAAGGGATGAATACTATATTTCGGAAGCATGGCATTAAAGATCTTCCAAGCGTCATCTACCACTCCAGAATGAGCACAAGCCGACAATACTGCCGTGAATGTCACAGGGTCTGGCTGAGTCCCATTACTCAGCATGTTATCAAATAGATTAAGTGCTGCATTAGCATCTCCATGGTCTGCATATGCTGATATTATTGCCGTCCAAAGAATCACACTCCTATCTCTTGATTGATCAAAAACCCTTTGTGCACCAAGAAGAAAGCCCAATTTGGCATAAGCATCAATAATGGCAGTTGCCACATAGATATTCTTATCCAAATTGTTTCCGACTGCATATGCATGTACTTCTTTCCCTCCTTTTAGATTTGAAAAATATGATACTGTAGGAAGAAAGCTTGAAAGTGTCACTGTATTCGGCATAAATCCAGTCACCTGCATTTCTCTAACCAAGCCAGTTGTTCTGCATTTCCCTCATGCCAGTTGTTCTGCGCCAGTCCTGAAATGACAGCATTCCACGTACTCAATCCTGGTTTTTTCATTTCTCCAAAAGGATGCATAGCTTTCTCAACAAATCCATGAACCATGTACCCAGAAATAATTGCACCATAGGTAATTTCATCCTTTTCCCTCATCCATTCAAAAAGTTCTCTAGCATAATCCAAGCTACCACATTTCGCATACAACAAAATAAATGAGTCGCAAACCGAAAGATCCATTTCAATTTCATTCTCAATTACACACCGCTGAACATCCATACCAAAAATAAGATCATTCGACTGAGCGCAGACCTGTAGAACACTAAGTACTGTAACCTCATTAGGCCTTACATTCTCAACACCCAACATTTCCTTGTACAATCTCTTGCAATCTTCATAAAACCCTCCTTGAGAATACCCTGCAACCATCGAATTCCTGGACACAAGATCTTTTTCAGTCATCATATCAAACAAAGTTCTCGCCGCAACAATATCATCACTTCTCGAATAGTATGTAATCATAGCATTCAAAACAAAGATATCTGAATCAAACCACTTTGAATAACAAAACCATCAACCAATATTTTAGCCAAATTTGAGTTCCGAAACAAAGACGAAAATGCCTTTAACACGCAAGTAATTGTAAAATTTTCCGGTTTTGCAGACGATGATGAAGAGAGGAAAGACGAGAAGAGCTCAAGTGTTTCCATGTGCATGTTGTGATGCGAGTACCCAAAGAGCATAGCGTACGTTCCAAGAGAATGTGTTCCGAGGAATTTCATCGAACACTTTGTAAAGTCGGATACGAAGTAGTGGTGAACAATATGAGTGCAGTGTGAATCTTAACCTGAGCAATCTTGTTCAAGCCACGTTTGAAACTTTGGGTAGAAAGAGACATATTATGGTTGGGTTCATAAAGGATCTCGCGCATACTATAAATAGAGAAATGAGCTTCCAGAGTTTTACCTTCTGAATGGAGCTCAAGTTAGGCTATGTTTGATATAGTGGAAAAAAACAAAAGAGATGATAAAAAAAAATAATTAAAAAAAATTAAAAAATAAAAAAAATTGATACTGTGTTTGGTTGATTAAGAAAGCAAAGGCAAAGGCAAAAAATATAGTAATCATGTTTGGAAAAGAAATGAAATGAAATTATTTTAATGAATTTACTATTATACTCGTTTGTATAGATTTTGTCTTCTATAAAATAAGGGTAAAATTGGTATTAATAAAATTTTATTAAAAATTATTGTCTTTTCTTCCCTTTCTTTTCATTTCTTCCCATTTTTTAAAGGATAACAAAACCAACCAAAATGCCTAAATTGTATCTTTCCAAATCCCTCCATTTTCTTTCTTTTTCTTTAATAAATGATGCATGGCCAAACATGATATTTCATTTCCTTTCTTTTCCTTCCATCACCCTCCAACCAAACTGACCCTTAAAGAAATCACATTAAAAATAGAGTTAATCTTAGTTTTATATTAGATTACTAACACATTAAAAAATGAGTTAATTTTATACTTAGATTACTCTTGTTTATAAATTTTTTAAAAAAATTTAATATAAATTTCAATAAAAAATTATAAACATACTTTTAAGGAGTTAAAATTAAAAATTATCACAATCCTAACACACAATTGAGTTATAAAAATGTGGAAATTTATTTTGGGATAGAATAAATATGTATATATATATATATATATTATTATTATTATTATTATTATTCTTGTAGTTGGCATATAATTGTAAAGTTGTTAATGTCTTTGTAGTTCGCCTATAATTGTAAAGTCGTTAATGTCTTTTTGCATAAGTATGGACAATGCTCGTGTCCAACTCAGGTTGGATGAACATGTGTACAAAAACACAAGGTAGATTTAAATTGGGTATTATTCAATTATTCGGGTTTAATTGAGATTTTTTTTTTTTCCTCTATTGCGGAGAAAAATCAAGACTTTCCAATCACACACTAAGAAAAAAGAAATAACAATGGCAAACCATACTCCAAATCAGACAGAGTTTGAGTATGACTGGATTGCAACCGTAGAACTTGATGAACTAGACGTACGACTTCCAAAAGACTTCGTAGACCCTTTTTCTCTACTTTCCTTTTTCTCTCTCCAAGAAAGACCATCAACGTCAGTTCTCACTGGTTTTGTTCAACGCAGCTGCCGCATCGCCATTGCTGACCATCTTTGCTCACCTTTTCATCATTGGTCCATGCCACCGTCCATTAGTCAGTCTTCTGTAACAAATTTTAGTTCAAAAAACAGAGACGTGTTGAATAATTTAGATTGCATTGGATTTTGGGCTATGATTAGATTATGGGGATGAATTGATTGCACTAGATTTGGGGTTAGGGTTTGACTATGGGGATGAATTGGTGGCGGCAACATTTGTGAGCTGTAAGTTTAGTTGTTGGAATGAGTTGGTAATGGTGAGAGAGAAGCAAAGGTTGTTATGGTGACATGGAAAAATAGAGAGGCTTGAGACGATGAAGAGGTGAGCAAAGATGGTCAGTAATAGGATAGAGGCGACGGTGGCGGCGTTGAACATTAAGAACTAGATGGAGAGAGAGAGAAAAAGGGGAAAAAAATCATACCAATGGGTTAAACCCGAATAATTAAAAAATACCCAACTTAAACCCAACTTTTTTATTGGACCACATTAGCAGGTTGGATGAATTGGATTGGTGCTCAAGCTGTTGGGTATAAAATATCTCCTTGTAACATTCTCTCACACTCAAATTCGCAACACCCTCGTTGTGGTTGGGCTACCCTGCCTATTCAGGCCGGGTACTTAGCGTGTGGCACCGAATCAAGGATTGAATCTGGTTCTAGTATCAATGGGCACTTATCCATTTATCCAAAAAGTAAATGGATTAGATATAGGCTACTTTACAGACTATCCATTTATACCTCCATTCCCTCTCTCATTCGGATTGGATATGGAATAAATTTGGAGACAAGCATTGTTCTGAAGTAACCCATATATAATAATTTTTCTATCTGTCCACGAAACACTCCATCAGGAGAGTTTAGTAGTTTAGTGTAATTTACCTTGTTTTAAATTAGCCTCTCAATATTTATCACCGATTAAATTAACCCTTTGAATTATCGGTTGTTATCCCTTAATAATAATTATTTCGATTACTTAATTTGAATAAATTATATATTAATTTTACGATTAGGATTGGGAAAGAAAAGACTGGAACCTCCGACTTTCATCAGCACCACCACTCTACCACCGCCAGTGATTCCCAAATCTTAGATCCCATTATATAAATCACTCTCTTCATTCTTATCCCCTCCAAATCCCACCCTCTCACATTATCAATTTCGGCAAAATCGAAAGAGATACAACTGTCCAAACCCAATTTCTCATCGTGATTCACATGGCCTTCTCGTCCGCGTCTTCAAATTCGTCGAAACCGTCTCGATGACCAGCGAGGCTTTACGTGAAATCGGTGTTTAGTTCCCTATATATGTAGGTATCTATGACTCGCGAACTGAATCGGTTTTTTTGTTCTGGGTTTGCGTTCTTATGTGGGTTTGTGGCTGGTTTGCTTCCAACGAGAGAAGAAGTGCATCAAGACGAGATTTTTTTATTTATTTATTGTTCTGGGCTTGTAGTTTGTTGATTGTATGGTTGATTTTATATATATATCGATTCATTTTCAACTCAAGTGTATCTGTTTTACTAAATCACATTCTCTAATCTGATAAATTATGGTTGTTGGTAGTGGTAGGAGATCGTGGTTGGTGGCGATGGGGTGGTGGTAGGAGACACATAGATTGTGGCCGGGGCGGTGGTGGTAGGATTTGGAGAGGAGAAAGAATCGAGAGAGGAAGGGGAATAATCTATTTTAAGTAAAGAAATAGTGTATGTGATAAGGTAAAATTACCATAAAAATTACAGGGAAAGTATTAATTACATAATATAAACAGTTACTAGTTTTAAAATTTTGAAATTGAATCCGAAAAGACCGAACCAAAGCAATCGGTCGTATGTTAAAGTTGTCAGTCAGGAGTCAGTTTTATTAGGTTTTGATTTTATTTCCTATCTATCTAATATATAGGCACAAGGCAAGCGGTAGCATAAAGCTGAGATCGAAAGGGTGCGTCCAAGGCAAGCGGTAGCGTAAAGCTGAGAAGGGTGCGTCCGATTGAGATATCAGAGAATAATAATGGCTTCTCACTTTAAAAGGTGCCACCGTAATAATTCGCAGAGACCATCGTCGGCCCAAATCTCTGTCACCGTCGCTGCCGCTGCTGCTGAAATCATCGGCAGCAACGCCGACCTGGTGGTGGAGATCCTTAGGCGTCTGCCTGTGAAATCCCTCCTTCGATTCAGGTCAGTCTCTAAACCATGGCTCTTTCTCATCTCCAGTCACCGCTTCTCTCTCCTCCACTTGCTACAGCAGCAGCATCCACAATTCGTTGATCCCAAAATCTCCGGCCTTTTCTTATCCAATAGATACTTCCCTGAATTCATCAGATACATTCCTCTCATTCACACTGACTTGAAGAAGAATCGATGTAATAGTTCTACTAGTATTAATAATGGTGGAGATGAAAACAAGTCACTTGCTTTCCTCTTTCCTGACATGAATACTACTACTACAACAATCATAGAAGACTCTTGTTGTGGTCTTCTACTCATCTGCTGTGAAACTAAGCAGTCGAATTCTTGTAACCGATGGTCTTACCATGTTTGCAATCCTACTACCAAGCAATTCTCCACTCTTCCCTGGCCTTTTACCCGCACTCGCAGTCATCCTCCTGACTATTTATATTTGGTTTTTGATCCTTTGAAATCACCTCACTACAAAGTTGTTTTACTTCAAAGTTCACTAAAGGGTTGCTACTTGTGTCAAGTACATATTTATTCCTCAGAAACCCATGCCTGGCGGGGGCCATATCCCAATATTGGTTATCATCAGTTACCATGTAATGTGAGATTAAGTAGTGGAGTCTATTGCAATGGTTCCATCCACTGGATTTCCTTCTTCCCACTACCACATAACGCTTCCTTATACTTTGATGTTGATCAAGAAAGATTCTGTCCGATGCCATCTCCACCATATCGGCCTGATGCTTTTAAATTCTGGCATTTTGGGGAATCCAGAGGTCATTTGCATATTATTGATTATATTGATGGTACCGGATTTAATTTCAACATTTCTGAGATGGAAATTGATTACTCCAAGTGGTCATTGAAGTATCGGGTTAACCTTAACTCGATTATGGTTGATCTTGCATCAAAAGAGTTGATGGTTGTCCGCCCTGATACAGTCAGGGTGCTTCGTTTAATTCATGGAGAAGATGATGGGGACGTGTTTTTGGTGCTATTCATAGACACAACTATGATCATCTCCTACAACATTAGGGATAACACCTTTAAGAAGCTTGATGATGTAGCAAACCATCCTGTTTCTTTGCGCATTCCTGTTTCTTCTCATCGTTGGTGGCGTGTCCATCGATGCATTGAGAACCTCTTTCCTGTTTGAGTATCACTTGGGTTGGGTGGTCACTATTTCAGCGTTTTATGTCCATCAATTTCATTCTATGGTTGTTTGTCACCAGTTAACTTAGCAGCATCTTGTTTTATGGTACTCATTGACAACTTGGGTTGTGACTATTTCAAATTATTGTAATTGTAGTTTCATTTTCTATCTTAATATTTATGAAATTGTTTGATTTATGAGTTTGCAGTTCTACTGATGTGCTTATAAAAATCTTGTTCCTTTTACACTATGCTCATGGTATCATACTGATATTAAGTCTGCTTTGCAGTATGCTGCTTCCTCCTAACAACACCAAGTGTATTATATTCTTATTATTAGAAGACATGATATGTCCCAAATACTATACTGCATTGTATTGCAAATTTATAAGATATATAAATCGTATTTGAAAGATGAATTCAAATGTATAAGATATATAAAAATGTGATTAACAACATTTGCCACCAAGTAAAGCTCTTCCAATTTTATGCCTAAGTTGCACTAGTTGTCTTTGTTTATTTGTGTAATCAGTATCCTCTTCAAATGATAATTTTGTTATATATTTTACTTCTGTCTATCCTTGTACACTACAAGAATTTTATGCTACACTGGCAGTTTTTCACCAGCAATTCTAGAAGTGCCAGAATTTATGTTATTTTATAGTTTTGTCTGGCAGTTTAGAGCGCCTGACTAAAAAAGCGGCATGTTTGGACAATCAAATATTACGTATTGCTTGCGTCAAGGTCTTCAGTGTTCTTACACAGGACTCTACAGAACCCTCTATACTCTCTTGGTAGGAGATGATCTGGGGTGCTCTTGGCAGAAGTATACCCTCTTTCTCATGTCAGTGCTCTTGCCTCTTCCATCGCTGTATGTTTGGACAATCAAATAATTTCTTTGCTCATTAACAACTGATCAGATCAGGTTCTTTGATCATGCACAACTAATTGAATCAGTTCTTGAATCAACTACAACTTCAATATTCAATCGCATGCATCAAGTATTGTCTGGCTCAATCAGGTTTTTCTACTCACTCTCTCTCTATATATATATGTACACACATACATATTATCTCCATGAGTTCTGTGGATTCACTAAACTCATTTCAGTTTTAGCTTGAACAAGTTCATTTTCAATTGAATCTATCATTTCAGTTTTTTCACACATTTGCAACATAGTACTTCTAAATCATTTAGAAATCTGTGAATCGTTAAGAAATTTGTAAAATAATTCAGAAATCATTATAATACAGTATGTGTAAACAGATTACCATTTTGCCGTTGCTTGCTAATTGTGTCCATTAAAACTCTCTCCACCTTACTTTCCCTGTCTTAATTGTGTGTTGTTTCATTCTGTTGTTCAGATTTTTTATTGTTATTTCTTAAGAAGTCTGTAGTTGATTTAGGTACGAGTTAGTTTCTATCTATTCCTCTTTTAACCAATTTTATATTTGATATGCACTTTCTGACTATATCTTGTGACTTTTGATCTTCCATCCTATGCTAGCACTTTTTTTCTTTGTTTTTATCTTGATTGAAGTCGTTAATGGCTGAAACAGTGAGTGACCTATCTTTTTTTTTCCCCTTCCTGATCCTGCATTTATTAAGGAGCTACAAAGGCAAACGGAGGGGAAGACATCCCAGTTACAAAATAGTTAAAGAACACCCGCTTCCAGAAATTGGCAAGCAGGGGGATTACCAAGAATTGATCATTCAAAAGGAAAAACATAGCAACACAGAAAGAAGCAGAACTCCCTCCTTAACCACTTTACATTAACAGATTAAAAACTGAAAATTCTCACCAGCTCTTGCAACTTAATATCCAAAGTGTCTGCCACATTTCAAATAATTTGACAAGCAGTTTTCTGAGGATTAACAAAGACATTGTCATGAGGTTTCAGGTTCCTATACCACCACATATTCCAGATTGTAAAAGTGAAAGTTAACTTCCAAAGCTTGCCACAGTTAGTTCTGGTCCTGGACTGAGAAACGAACCATTCACCAACTGATCAAAGTTATTCACCCTGCTCCCATCCCAATTGAACAGATATCCCAACCACCTCTGTATAACTTTAGCAAAGCTACAATTGAAAAACATATGATCTCTTGAATCAGCATTTAACATGCAATTATTTCATATTGGAATAACAGGCATGATACATCTTTGCTGCAAATTGGTCAAAGTAGGCAGCTTGTCTTGGATGGCCAAACTAGAGGTCACACTTGCCACCGGTCTCCCACCATTCCAAACAGCTCGGACCAGTACTTCTTAGGGGTTTCATATCTATAGTATTTTCAGAAAGACTTAAAAGTTGCTTTGACCATATTTTCTTCTAATGGAATCAGAGCCTGGATTGACAGGAACATGAGTAATCTGATTCCAAATTTCAGTAACCTCGTTCACCATGAATTCTGGTGGAACTGATCTTAGCTCCTTTAGGAACATCAAATTATTTGATAATCCTGTGACCATAAGTCTGAACTAAGGAAGCACCATTCCACCATGGGTCCAAGAAAAATTTTAGAGATTGCCCCTAGAATTGGTCGTTTGCTGACATAAATTCCCTGACCCCTAACAGATTCTTCCAGAAGGTCAAGTTATTATACATCAATGAATTAGACCAAATAGAATCACGCTTAAGGTAAAGATTCTTCAACCACGGAATCCACATTATATCCTTTCTTAGTCCCAAAATAAACTGCATTTGGTGGCCTTATCTATTTCTGCAAGTCTCCTCCAGATTTTGGGCAAGCAAATGAAGTTGAAGTATCTTATTCCATTCTAGAAGATGAAGTATCTTAGAATTTATTTTGCCTTCCCAAATGAAGTTTTTTATTTCTTTATTATTATTATGTTTTATCATTTTCTAAATCACAACAACTTGTTATTTGAACGCAGGACACTAATAATGAATAATAGAATAGATAACAGATCTTATCAACTCAACCCTATCAGCAAAGTGATAGAATAAGAGAGCTCGACCCATTGAGTTTTGCAGCAATGTTGTTGGTCAGAGCATTACAATCCTTATTTTTCAAGCCTTTATCAATCATAGGAAGCCCCAAATATTGAGGAGGCAAGGAACCACAGTTTATCTTTGAGATTCTGCAGAGAATTTTTCCTTCTAACTGCTTTAGAGAAGAAGACCTTGCTTTTTTGAAAACTCACTTCCAGACCTGAGAAGGTGAGAGGGTTTTAAACTTATTAATGATATTCAAGATATATTTAGCTGACCTCACACTTGCTTTAACAATCAGAAATAGATCATCTGCATAAAAACAGTATGTAAAGACTAACCCATTCGATTCAGCAGCACCACTAGTGTGAAACCCCCCATTATTCCTTTCAGCCTGAACCATATAGGAGAAAATTCTGTAATTAAATGTGAAAAAAGGGGGAGAGAGATGGCAACCTTGCTCCAAGCCCTTTTTCGGCTGAAAATACCCTGCAGAAGTGCCATTTATTAACACATGAAACCATGAGTTAGATATGCATTATGTTATTCATTCAATCAATTTATCCCCTAATCCAAAAGCTTTTAGAACCTGAAACAAGAAGTCCCAAGAAACAAGTGATATCCCTTTTGATGTCTATTTTAAAGGCCATTGACTAATGAAACTTTGTAGTCTGTGGTAGAGAACAGTGGCAACAAGTAGAGGACAGTGGCAGCAGTGTTTTAAAATGTATAAAAGGCGTGGGAAAGAGGATTCTAGAGCTCAAGCCTTGATTTGGCACCTGTTAGGTGAAGGGGGGGTCCACTTGCAGTCTTGCATAATTGGGGGGATTGGGTCAAATTGCATAATTTTGGTAAATTGCATCAGTTATGGTGAAATTGCATTATTGTGGTAAATTGCATCAATTAGATCAAATTGTTTCAATTAAGTTATTTGTTAATTTTATTATGCTAGAGTCAACTTTTGATTATCGCAATTGTAGGGTAATCCAAGGGTCATCAGTTGTTATAAAAAGGATACTATGTAACTCTGATTACTCAATAAATGAATAAATAAAAAATTTCTTTGTTGGTTATTCACAAATTCCTTCTCTAGGTGTGATACCTAGGCCCTGTTGGAGTGATTCCAATAGGTGTTTTCAATTCTTTCTCTCTTCTAACAGCTCTTGAACCCCAATCATGTTCATTTGAACTTTCAGCCCAAAACTCTTCTTTGCTTAACCCCAAACATTTCCCTCGTGCTATAAAATAGGACATGTGGAATCTTTTCAAGGTAAAAATGTTGTTGCTTTGAAGGTACATACTTTATTAGTTTCTTTTTCGTGTTTTTATTAACTCCAGAAAAGTTATATAATAGCCAACTGGTATCTTTTCATAACGTTTGTAGAAAAACATGAGGTGCCACGTCATAGCAAAAAAGTGGACTATTGCTTCCATTGGAAAAAAATGGAAGGATTTTAATTCTGATCTAGAGAGAGACTACTGTGCTATTTGGGACAATGATGAGAAACGATTGTTTCACCTGCCACCTCGCATTAGTAAAGGAGGATTGGGTGTATTTGGTTAAGTACTTTATCTCCAAGGAGGGGAAGGTAAGAAACTGAAGATCTAACATGCTTCATACCATGGGATTTTGGGTAATTAATTGTCTAAATATATATATATATATGGTATGTCTTATTATGTACACGAATTAATTGCCACTTTGCTCAAGATTCTTAAAATCAGCTACAAATTTCTGCGTGCTATGTATGTTCTCTAACAGTTGAAACCCTTAATTTTCCTCTGTAATAATGCGTATATAAAAATACATGGTAGATCATATGGTTACTAATTTGTGGGTATTGTTCTCTTAGGTGAAATTTTTTGGGCCTTAAATAGAGCAGAATGGAAACATGGGATTCATGTAGCTGACCCCAAGTAATTGGAAAAAGGCTTGGTTGTTGTTGAACAGAACTTTTCGATTCTGCAAGATATCATGTTCTGTTCTATATGTGGTATTTGCTTGCAATTTGTGTGATTATTTTGCTAGAAATGAGCAGAAATTTGATTGATTAATTGCTGCTGTATTGTACCTGCAAATGACAAAAGAACCCAAAATCTGACATAATAAACATATGTTGATACTCAATTATGTCTGGCATCCTTCTTTTGTAGAGTCGAAGTGAATGAAAAAAGGAAAGAAAAAAGAGGCTCAAAGCAAACCATGGTTCATACCACGGGATCAGGGAGCTACGCACGAGTAGCTTAGTTGGTTA